GGCATTGCTGTATAATGTATTTGTCACAGTTCTGCTGCAGACTTGCAGCTGAGCTGTTACTTGTAGTTCTACAAGAATATACAGACCTCTTACCCTTGGTTCTGCAGGCATGCAGGGCTATGCTGTTGCTTGTAGTCCTCCAGACATGTGCTCTGAACCTGACTCACTCTTGCACCAGTCTGGCAGCTTTAGGCGTCGGTCGACCTCTCCTGCTGTTTCTCATGCAGCTTTTTGGCCAATCAGTGCAATCTGCTTGTGGCCAATCCTGTGGATCCTCTCTCTTCCTGACTCTATTTAAACCCAGGCCAGCGAATGGCACGCAGCCCGAGCAACGCTTTCCCAAGCTTCACCTAACTTCGCCTCAACTTGACAACCTTAGCTCATTCGCCTCAGCCGATAAAACATCTGGATTGGCTGAAGCAAACGTTCATTGCTCTTCACCTCTATTCTCCAAAGGACGAAACAGCAGAGAGTAAATAGCCGATTTTTTTTTAGAGGGGACCCCATGCCAAAAAAACAAACAAGAAAAAGTGTGGGGTGCCCCCTAAAATTCCTACCGGACCCTTAATCCGAGCAGCAGGAAAGGGGGGGGGGGGACAAGTGTGCATTCCCCCTCCTGCAACGCACCAGGCCATATGCTCTTGACATGGATAAGGTGCTTTGCCATGAGGGACCCCATGTCGAAGAGGACAAGGGCCTCTTCCCTACAACCCTGGACCTGTGGTTGTGGGGGTCTGCGAGCAAGGGGGCTTATCGGAATCCGAGTGGCCCCTTTCATAAAGGATTTAACCAAGCCTTCGGCTAATCCTTTAACAGCTTAGTGAATAACCCCCTAAATGATTGGCTAGCATACATTATATTTTAAAGAACTCCAGGAATTAAAAAAAAAAAAAAAAAGTTCCCTTGCATTGGGGCTACACTCGCACAGCAAGGGTTAAGTGCTTGTTTTGTCTAGATGGCTCAAATAAAGGAGATATACTCACCTGATCCCAGCTGCCGTAGCGGTCACCACTCACCTCTCTCTCCCTCTGCTCTGAGTATGGAATGTCCCTTGGCATCCTAAGATATAATGCAAGTCAATGGACCTGCATTAGACGTGATGACATCAGCAGTCCTTAGACCACTGGGGGAGAAGAGGCTGCGGAGATCGGACTAGCAGCCTGGTGGGACTGAGGATCAGATAAGTATATCTTCTTTATGTGACCCCGCTAGACAAAATAGGCACTTACCCCTTGTAAAGGTAAGTTTTCTAAATTCTTGGAGTTCTTTAAAAAAAAAGACTTAGTATCATCCTCTTGCAACCCCCTGTACAGCAAAACTCTGTAAGAGAGATGCAGCACAAGGAGCCAATCAATTTTTCTGTGTTGCTTATATGATAACAAGGTACATGGTGATAGAAGGAGAGAGCAGAGTGTCAGAAAGATGAGCTCATTAGTCTGATGCTTCTCCTTTCACTGTCCAGTCACAGGCTGGGGGAGGGACAAGACCTGTAAGTGAAACTTAAAGGTGAACTATGAGGATGGGTCATTTACACTCACCGTCATAGTTAGAGCCGACGTGTGACATTGAAACTGTCACATGTCGGCTCAATAGATCGTGAAGAGAGCGAACACATACTTCCGCTCGCTCACTTCCCCATCACCTCCCTGCAGAAAGTGATCACTATCAGTCACCGCTCCCTGCAGGAATTCCCCCCTCCCCTCTATTTTTCTCCATCGCTGAGTGGAGGAAAAGACACAGAGGGGGCGATCACAGCTGGTTCCGCCTCTAGATAGGCAGAGTTCGCTGTCAATCAGCCAGCTGGGTGGATCTCGTCAGTATTGTCGCTATCTGTCCTGGCTGCATCTCTCTCAGTATTAAGCGAGCAATAGCCCACTATATACTGAGCTTTGGGTCACGGGAGGACGTTAGTATATCTCCTTCTGTGACGCTAAAGAGAACTATGGGATAAAAAGCTTACCACATAGTTATCTTTGTGGTTCTCTAGTTCTCTTTTAAGTGCAATTCAGAAAAATCGGGTCTCCTTCCCTAACAGGCTGGGCAGTACTCTATGGGAAAGCTGTGAAAATCTGAGAACTGGATGGCAAGAAATACAAAATCTTTGGCAGGTAATACAGCTGCTGTATATGCATTTCATCTGCGTGCTGAACTGTTTGTGTGGTGTTCAGCTTTAAAGCTGACACTTTATTGTCAATTTTGATCTGATTCATTGTATGGCCTAGTCACAGTTCCCTGGCACACAATTACTCCATTTAATGCTTGTCTCATCTTTGCTTTAATTCTGCTAAGCAGTGTATTGGATGTTTTATTATAAATTGTATAGTCTGTGGGGTCTACTTATACAGCGTTCATAATGACAATTCATTTGCCTAATTTAAAAGCTCATTTGCTGTCACTAGTCACATTTGGATGTGTTCTTGTTTCTGTAACATTCACTGCACTGATACACTAATTAATGTTACATTCACCAAGACAATGTGACTCCATCATTGACCACTCTGAACTGACTTCCTATGGAGATCTACATTGCGCTTTTTGTTCACATTTGTTGCAGATTCGTCGCATGATACCAGCAGACTAACATCTAAATCAGTCATTGTCAACTGGTGTGCCGCCTGAGGTTACAATTGAAACACAAATTCCCAAAAATGTATTATAGACCGCACTAGAGAGGCACCAGCAAGGCACCAGACTGAGTGCTAGCAACGGATGACTCATCAGTCGCTATAGACGCTGTTGCCAGCCACAGTCTTTAACAGTGTCTATAGCAACCAATTATGTCATCATCGGTTGCTAAGACTCAGCCAGGTACCTTTTTGGTGCCTCTCTAGTGCAGGTAAGACCTGGGGCCTCAGAGTCTGCAGACAAGATGTCAAGGGGGAGATGAGGGAGAGGGCACCTTTCTGGAATGATGGATAGCAGTGGAGCTAATGCTTCCCCCTACTATCTGTTTTTTTATTTTTATTGTGGCGGCCGCCGTCAAAATAAAATAAAAAAACAGATAGCAGGGGATCCCGGAAAGGTTTGCTCTGCAGAGTAAACCTTTCCGGGATAAGATGTTTTTCTTGCAGTTGTCAGGGAGCCGCTATCTTATAGTGGAAGACTCCCTGAACCTGAGATGTCTGAGATGTCCTGCAGCATGCCACTACAGACTTTCAGCTCAGCAATGCTGACACCTGCATCTTCATTCTGGGATAGTTGGGCATCACCAGGTCTGTCCCCACAGTATTCACCCCCTTAAGGGGGAAGGTGGTGGGTGCTGTGAGTGTGCACTCCTTCTGTGAAGGGAGGGGGGTGTTGTATGCTCTGGGTGCTGCCAGTATATGGTCATTAAGGAGGGGGGGTCTGGGTGCTGCCAGTATATGATCATTCTCTGGGGGAGCAGGGGTCTGGGTGCTGCCAGTATATGGTCATTCCGGGGGGGTCTGGGTGCTGCCAGTATATGGTCATTCCGGGGGGGTCTGGGTTCTGCCAGTATATGGTCATTCTCTGGGGTAGCAGGGGTCTGAGTGCTGCCAGTATATGGTCATTCCGGGGGGGTCTGGGTGCTGCCAGTATATGGTCATTATCTTGGGTAGTAGGGGTCTGGGTGCTGCCAGTATATGGTCATTCCCGGGCGGGTCTGGCTACTGCCATTATACGGTCATTCCGGAGGGGAGTCTGGGTGCCTCCAGTATATGGTCATTCTGGAGGGGGGCTCTAGGTCTGGGTGCTGCCAGTATATGGTCATTCATAGATGGGGCGCGTTATCACTGAGTTTCTTAACTGCAGCTGTATTGTAATTGTACTGTCTCCCTTTATATTGTATATTGATATTGTAAAGCATTGCAGGAACTGCTGACGCTCTCTATACATCCTGAATAATAATAATAATATGTTTTATGTAAACAAAATACGCTTTAAGTAAACATTTACATTCCTTGATTTTTCGGTGGTTTTACCTGCAATTTTTTAGGTCGGTGATTTAACTTTTAATAAATACACAAGTGTATTCCGGTGCCTGAAGCTCAGCTTTTATTTCTATTCACCACCATTCATCCTCGGCAACTTACACTGGCTATCTATATAAGCATGCCTAATGTTGGTGACCAGTATGCGGTGAATCCAGGCAGGTGAATGTTCCTTGATTTGTGTCCAACCTTAACCCCTAATGCTCTATAACATGGTGAGGTAAAACACAACTTTGGAATATTTTGCAGAAAGTGACACGGAATGAGGTTAAAGGGGATCTATAGTCAAAAACTGAAAATAAGTATGAATTTCCATAAGTTCTATCCCACTCCTAATAACCATAGTGATCTAGAAGTTTGCAAATGTATAATATGTACTTACAGTAAGCAGTGACACAGTCACACTTAGCCCTGCGAATATGCACTTCCTTGTGTCACCAATCTCACAGAGCCAGCCTTCTGAACTACAACTCAATGTCTGAACAAGGTAACATCATCATTGCTTGCTGGAAGCAATGCATGATGGGATATGCAGTCTGGTGGAGAAATTGAGATAGCGTCATTTCAAGAAGCAGGGAAAGAGACACAAAGCACATTGGGAATCCAGGAAGTTGATGAAAGTGATGGGCAGACAGAAGGCAGGACTCCGTAAAAGGGATTTTTTATTGTAAGCTTTGATTGTATTGTCAATAACAACTCTAGTGTGTATTCCTATGACAATGCTGATGTTATAACAGGATAGTATATGCCGGGACTTTGCAAAATGTAAAATGAAACACTTAAATGTATAAAAAACAAACAAAGCAGGGGTAGGCCAACTCCAGCCCTCCAGCTGTGATGCAACTACAAATCCCATTAGTCATTGCAAGACTCTGACAGCCCACAGGCATGACTGCCAAAAGCAGCAGCATGATGGGTATTTAGTTTCACCACAGCTGGAGGGCTGGAGTTTGCCTACCCTTGGCCTAAAGCATGTGACTTTTTGATGATTATGGTATGCATGTCTCTAACTCCGTTGTTCTTTTTCTTTTTTTGTTTGTTTCCTGCCAGGGAGAGAGGCTGTGAGGGGGAGAATGAAGCATTTCGCTGCGTACGAGAAGCATGAGGTGGCACCTGTACACCCGCTCTGACTGGGCATGGCTGGTGCTGACTTGGCTGTCTGTAATGCTGTGTTTGGCATCCGCCACAGCCACAATTTCTAGGCAGCATGGCTCGGCTACGTCAACCGGGCAGTCATCGCTCGACTGGTTGCTTAGTAACAGAGGACCCTTCCATCGGGCCCAGCAGTATGTGGACTTTGCTGAGCGCTACCAACAAGGGTATACCACCAGGTATCGAGTGCACAGGTGAGTGTTTATCATTGCCTACACTTTGTCTGCTAAGACTAGAGGATGAAATATGACACATATGACAACATTTTACAATGGACCATCTTCAGTACTTTGGGACTATCAATGTTAGTCTATGGGCAGCCGGGTATAAATGGACGTTCTTTAGTTTTGGGTTAGAACACCTGTCAGGTTTGTCTGTGTCCCCATTAGGGAGATTCACCTTCTCTATTTGTCCTGGTGATCATTATCACTAAAAGTGAAAGAAAATCCAAAATTCTGGGCAGGATTGCCACCTTTTCCTCAAGTGAAACCTGAACACCCTAGCGCCGTGAACGGCAATTTTTTTTTTTTTGAGACTATAGAGGAGAGAGCAAGGAGAGGCAGCCAGGTGAGGGAGTAAGGAGACCAGCTATAGAGATCTACAAATCCCAGCAATACATTTTACAGCAATACAAAATAATGTGAAGCTACATACTCTGTGCTGTTCTGGGTTGCCGCCCTAATGTCTCCAGGTGGCCTGTGCGACTCTCGGGTGGGCTGTGCGACACTCGGGTGGGCTGTGCGACTCTCAGGTGGGCTGTCTGGGCTATGGTGTCTCATCAGGGTGTCCGCAGGTGGGCAGCGCGGTGTCAGGGAGCCAGTGTTGTGTCGAATTCTGTTCCCCTGTAAATCTTGATTCCCCCTGGCAATCGGCTATTTCCATAACCTCACCTCTTCATGCCTCTTCCCTTCAGCCGCATGTGTATCTACATAACCCTGCCTCTCTTCTAGTTCTGGTGATCTATCACATAGAGAAGAATGCCTCCCCCGTTCTTCTCAATAGGATAAATCACTTAAAGCACAGGCTCAGAGGAAGATCCGGGTTTCAGGCCGATGCAGCTGCTCGAGATCGTGCTTGACTAGGACCTCGGCAGCCGCACCAGTCAGAAAATGTAAAGTGCTGGTGTCGCCACTGAGTGTCTTGTGTCCAGGTGCCCGCTGGCTGGGGACCCAGACACAAGACTCCAAAACAGGACTGTCCGGGTGAAAACCGGTCGTGTGGCAACCCTAATTGTGGGTTGTCACCAGAACAGAAATAGATGGGAAATCTTCCAATGGGGACACAAGTTCTGGTGATCATGGGGAATTTGGCTTACTTTGGAGAGATTTCCTCTCACTTCCTGTGTCTATTGAACAGGAAGTGAAGGGAAACCTTCCCAATGTGAAAAAAAAGCTGATGGGGGTTATAACCCCCGCCGTACACTATCAAAAACTACAAAACAACTTTTGGCTTTAGTTCTACTTTAAAGGAGAACTATGGGGTTAAGGCTTTTCCCCATAGTTCTCCTTAGGGTAACGGGAGGACACAAACTAGCATCCTCCCGTCACCCTAGGCTCAGTATACCGCAAGCTATACTGAGATGCCGCAGTATACCGCGAGCTGCTGCTGGCGGTATACTGAGATGCCGCAGCTGAAGCGGATACCGACAATTGTGGCGGGATCCGCCCAGCTCCATGACTGACAGCTGGCTCTGCCTATCTAGAGGCAGAGCCAGCTGTACCCGCCCCCTCCCCTGTCCGTTCCGCCAGCAGCCCCTCCCCTGTCACGGCAGAGAGCGTCACTGGTAGTTAAGAGCTCTAAGCAGCGTGTGGCGCTCTGGCTGGCACCCTGTCCTGCTCACTGACATCACGGGTAGCCAGGAGCTGAGCGGGACGCTCTGGCTGGTATCCTGCTCATCTTCTTGCAACCAGTGATGTCAGAGCTTGGCAGGGGTACCATGCACCTCCCTGATAATTTATGCACCCCCCATACCTGTCCTTCCCTTGCCTCCGGTGGCAAATAGTGTAGGGACACCCCTGTCTGCATGACCTGAATTGCACTGAGGTGTGCTACAGCCTATTATTTGGAATGGGTGATGTCCCTCAATGCATGAAAAGCGTGTGTTGTGGTGCAGTGCATCCTAGTGTGAACGGTCCCTTAATCAATGCAGTGAGTCCAGTCAAGGAGCTCTCAAAAATGCTCAGACGTCTTCCCAAACCATGGCAGTGCCAGGGGGTTAGGTTAATAGGGAACTTGGTTTCATTTGCACTGGTCTTTTGACACACTGAGGGCAGTAGAGAGAAAGGGGCTGTGAAGAGAAGACCCAGACTTCCACCTCACACTGCGCTCTACACTATAGGAACAAGAGAGGAACATCATTTTCTGTCTATATTTCCTTTCCTGGTTTTAAAAAAAGAAACTGAGGAACTGACACGCTAATCAAAGCTTATTAAAGTACAAAACGTTTTACTCCAAAATGTATAAATCTGCTAAATGTAACAAAAACGTTTCAAAACTGTTTCCCCAAACATACAAGTGAGTGGCAAAATACAACACCATGGATTCAAAAATGATATGTTTAGCGTGTATTATTCCTGGGAAAAAAGGAGATGAAGACCGCATAGGAAGCTATGTATATGCTGCTGGGGGAAGGGGAATTGCAGTTAAAGGGGTTCATTTATAAAAGTTTATAAAAGCTGTGTCCTTTGCTTACATACTTCTTCCACTTCTCAAAAAGTTGGGATGTATGGACTGCTGAATATTGCAGGAAAGGCATAGAAGAGGCAGATTACAGACAAGCAAAAGAGCAGGGGATAAGATATATTTCCATCACAACTATGAATTAGCTTATGTTTGGACTGAATCTGATCCAAACCTGAGCGGCTCTGAACCAAGAAGAAACCTCTTTCTGCTGCGGCCCAATCTCCCTGCCCACAACTACATGTAAACAAAGGGGCAGGATGCAGTGATGTCATTGGCCTTATATGGCTACACGGTTATATTACGTACATGATTTAAGCTAATATGGCCATGTGGCCATATAAGGTTAATAACGCTAGTAAAAGCATCCCACCCCTTTGTTTATTGTTAGCTGTGGGATGGGGAACGTCCTGATCCTGCAGCTGATTGGGCACCCATTATGAGGCCTATGTAGCTTCTGTATTTGGAGGAACTCATTAATTTCTACTATTGAACACACTAGTAGACCTACTTTAACTCTTCAGTCCAGATCTGGTGGCATTTGACTGCAGAGTGAATACAGAGTGAAGAATACTTGTTATAGGGAGACGGTATGGGGTTGCAGAGAATCCATAGCAGTACTTATCACCTATAAATATAACTTGGTTGTCAAAGGAAACCTGTGCTCAGGATGACACATGGGCTGCCACTGCTGACCTTGAACCCATACACAAGCATTGCTTAAACTGGTGCGAACACAGTGCGATGAACTGGCAGATTTACATTGACCATCATTCAGCAGTGCAGGTGTCAGTGTAAAACGCAGTGTTAGCAAGCAATGCCGATCACACAGGAAGCTGGAGTCTCAAGCAACACTCATAGAGACCTGTCAGAAATATGCTAGGTTGGAAACGTGAGTCATGCACTGCATTTTGATAAGCACGTTTACTGATTGCATGAAAGTAAAGCAGTGTGCACAAGAATAGGGTATTTATAGAACTGTACACATAGAGGATGTGCAGCTGCAGGGATGGGGGGATAGGGCCGCGCAGCAGTGCACAATGAAAGACTGAAATTAGAAAAGCAGCAGTGACTAGGACAGGATCTGCAATTAACTTACTAACACAGACTCTGTGACAGCTCAGTGCACACATCGGATTAGGATCAAATGTTAATGTACATAAGGAGCTGATAATCACAGATCAGTGAACGCATAAAGGCAATAGTCACAGATCAGTGCACACAGGGAGGTGATAATCACAGATCAGTGCACACAGGGAGGTGATAATCACAGATCAGTGCACACAGGGAGGTGATAATCACAGATCAGTGCACACAGGGAGGTGATAATCACAGATCAGTGCACACAGGGAGGTGATAATAACAGATCAGTGCACACAGGGAGGTGATAATCACAGATCAGTGCACACAGGGAGGTGATAGTCACAGATCAGTGCACACAGGGAAGTGATAGTCACAGATCAGTGCACACAGGGAGGTGATAATCACAGATCAGTGCACACAGGGAGGTGATAATAACAGATCAGTGCACACAGGGAGGTGATAATCACAGATCAGTGCACACAGGGAGGTGATAGTCACAGATCAGTGCACACAGGGAAGTGATAGTCACAGATCAGTGCACACAGGGAGGTGATAGTCACAGATCAGTGCACACAGGGAGGTGATAGTCATAGACCAGTGCACACAGGGAGGTGATAGTAACAGATCAGTGCACACAGGGAGGTGATAATTACAGATCAGTGCACACAGGGAGGTGATAGTCATAGATCAGTGCACACAGGGAGGTAATAATCACAGATCAGTGCACACAGGGATGTGATAGTCATAGATCAGTGCACACAGGGAGGTGATAGTTACAGATCAGTGCACACAGGGAGGTGATAATCACAGATCAGTGCACACAGGGAGGTGATAATCACAGATCTGTGAACACAAGGAGGTGATAGTCACAGATCAGTGCACCCAGGGAGGTGATAGTCACAGATCAGTGCATACAGGGAGGTGATAGTCACAGATCAGTGCACACAGGGAGGTGATAGTCACAGATCAGTGCACACAGGGAGGTGATAGTCATAGACCAGTGCACACAGGGAGGTGATAGTAACAGATCAGTGCACACAGGGAGGTGATAGTCACAGATCAGTGCACACAGGGAGGTGATAGTCACAGATCAGTGCACACAGGGAGGTGATAGTCATAGACCAGTGCACACAGGGAGGTGATAGTCACAGATCAGTGCACACAGGGAGGTGATAGTCATAGACCAGTGCACACAGGGAGGTGATAGTAACAAATCAGTGCACACAGGGAGGTGATAGTAACAGATCAGTGCACACAGGGAGGTGATAATCACAGATCAGTGTACACAGGGAGGTGATAGTCACAGATCAGTGCACACAGGGAGGTGATAGTCATAGACCAGTGCACACAGGGAGGTGATAGTAACAGATCAGTGCACACAGGGAGGTGATAGTAACAGATCAGTGCACACAGGGAGGTGATAGTCATAGAC